ATCTCGGAAAATGTTAAAATAAAGACCATGCTTTAGAGCAAGGGATCTCTTTGGCGCACGATTTTCTTAGAGCATGGCCACGCGACGCACGCCCTCTTTGTGTTTAACAACCCTTCCTCGGAAGGCGCGACCACAGAGCCGCCAAGCAACCCTGAGCGTTCAGACATCATCTTTGTGAGGCATCCATTACGTCTTGGGGAGACCCCCTTTTGTAATTAATGACAGATGAGTGAAAAGAAGGGTTGAGATATAGCGAGAGATTTGATGCTCAGATGACGAAGATCAATACCGCACCCGGTGTCCTCTGTCCGTCATTATTTCGAGAAAAATGAACATGGGTTCGAGAACAATAAACAATATGTGTGGCTCAGGACGAAAACACACATGCGCGGTAAAAGCGCGAGATCATATTTAGAGGTACATGATGCATGGTGGTGCATTACGGCAAAGAAATACGGGCTAGATTTGGTTGAAAATCCCCGTTCAGTTCCGTATTTACACTGTACCGTATGCACAAACGTGGCCGGGTGTCAGATTGCCTAATCTCTCGGGGATATATTGGCATTGATGATAGGCAAACCCGTCTGCACACGGCTGCAGAGACTTTGTGTCATAACCATAAAAACAGAAGAAAAAAACGCAGAAAATGTGACGAAGCATCATATTCATCTGGTCTGAGAAGAGTAGAAAAATGAGTCCTGCTCTGTCAATCCAAATGTGTACATGCCATTTATGCTTTAAATAATGTGTACATAGCCAACCCATGTACACATTGATTAATTAAAGCATACATGCCATGTACACTTTATTTAAAGAGTACAATGTACACATTTGGATTGATACAGTGATTCCCTTAGTATCGGAGCACATTAAAATAAATAATAAGTTTCTTACTAATGACCGCCTTCTTTCCTTTCCTCTCCCCGAAACCTTTCACCCCTTCTGCCTGACCAACCTATCCTTATACACAAAACAGCCCCTCCTGGCCACTACGCAAATAGAAGCAGGGAGCATTTCGCACGAGAGAAGCAACAAGATGTCGACTCCTGCCTGACTTTCTCTTTTTACCCGTCGAAAAAAATCAAATTGGGCATACATATGAATGACATCCTGCAAATGGCGAAGGGGGGTGACCCGACGCGAGAGGGGCGGGTTGAAGAGGCCGGTCTTGCGCCCCCCGGGCTGGCGACTGGAGAAATGCGAATAATTCTACATCGAATCTCGCCCTGGTTGTCCACCCCTCTGTGTAGCCGGCCTCGGCGGAAATGGGCGAGGGTCGGGGCCACCGCAGTCCGCACTGTGACTGTGCCGCACGGGTGGCCGCGTGACGGGAGGAAACGACTCGCGGTCAGCGGCCGCAGCCACCGCGGCGAGAAAACTTTTCAAATAATGTTATTCCTCCATACGGTAGGCAGCTCAGTAATTTTTTTTGGTTCAATCATCGGTCACATTTGTGCCAAAGCTGGCCTCTGCTTTCTTGTGCAAGCAGCCGTGCAAACTTGCAGGCGCGCGGCCTGTGTCTCAAAGGCAAAGTTATACGCGCTGCATCGCTCGTCCCTCGCCGCCCTCTTGCAGCTGTGAAAACTTGTCGGCCCGCACCGCGCTAACTTCTGCTCGTTTCCCCTTCAAATCTACCCTTGCTCGTAACGGAGAGTCCGCGGGAACCGTACAAGGATTTGGCCCCGCGCGACTCTCGGGTATCCCCCGCTCGTATTTTCGCGGTGACCAGTGTACCCTGTATGCGCGCTGCAAGCCCCAAGGGCGCGGGCGTGATGGAGGAGGGCCGGGTGCGTACTTTACAATCGGGCCGCGAAGATCCGGCCGCCGCGTCACGCCGGGGAGGTGCTGGTGCTACGCTGTGCGGATAAAGTAAATTCGAGAGTAAAGTCCGGTCCGGTCCGGCTCGAGTGCGACCGTAACCGAAGAGCGCGACTACTGGCTCCCGGCCAGGGCAAGACTCTGGAAGAGCTCGCATATGTTACTGCACAGCCTGGCCGCCGCCAATCACCGCAAGCGAGCAGAGCAGAAACACTAAAGCGAAATGACTATGAAACTTCATCTATGACAATGAAATCACCATCATCCCCCTTCTTTTGTACCTTCACGGCGATTTTTCTGAGAGTAAAACTTGCAAGGATCAAGCGCGCCCCCTAGTGCTGGCGGCGGCAGGCCATCGTGGGGCGTGTACAGTAAGAGAGCGCGGGGTGCGCTTACTGCAGAGGGCGGGGCGGGGCAGGGCGGTGCAAGGGCGGGGCGGAGCTTCAGCTCTAGCGGGAAGTAAACACTGATCTTGTCGGGCCGCGCCTCCGGGGCTGAGGGGCCGAGGCGACTCCCAGACGACGACGACGACGAGGTCCGCGGTCCACGACGTTTTTTGCCCGCGCCGCCCCTCCCTCGCGCCATGGCGAGGGGCGGAGCGCCGCAATGCGCTGCCGATAAGGGATGATAACAGGGCCGGGCCATGTTTAAGGGTTTAAGGGCTTAAGTCGCGCGCGCGTCATATCGAGGAGGTCGCTCACCCTCCCCGGGCTCCGGCAGCAGCCCGCTCGGGGAGGCTGCCGACGACGGCGCGGCGTTTTGCGTGTGTGCCTCCCTATCTGATCGCGAGTCCCTGCCGTCCGTCCTGGGGTGGAGTCCCGGGCGCGGCGGGTCCCCGGGCACCACCACCACCAACTCGATGTGAGGGGGGGGGGACGGACGTCTCTCTGCGTTCACCGCTATCCTCCCGGACGACCGCCGCCGGCTCCTTGGCTGCGCCACCGCTGCGCCCCGGGGGCGGGAGCCAAAGCCTAACTGCAGCCGGGGGATCAGAACCAAACCGTCCGTGATCAGGGGCCAATCGGCAGCCAGCGTCCCTCCTGCCAGCGGCGGTGATGGAACAGAAATGAATGGGGACCGGCGGAGTCCGCGGGGAAAGAATATATGTGTGTGCGGGGGCGGCCCGGGTGTGCGCAATGCTGCCCGCGTTATACATGTATTTTATTCGTTGTCTTATCTCGGCGAAAATCGTGGATGCCAGCACAGTTGGGTAGCAGCTATTATTCGCCCGTTTGTATCTCTGCGTGTGCCCGGCAAAACAAAATAATAATAATAAAAAGAGCGCTATGACAAAACCGCGCCGAGTCAATGTCCTTTTGCTGATAATTATCCGTCATTGTGGGCTAACGCCCGTCTAACGCTACACGGCCCGCCTCTGATACGCCCTGCATGCTGGTATACCGCTGCACCTTCAGAGCACCGTGTGTCAGGGCTGCGACACGGCAGTGTGCGGGTATGTCTACATCTACACTTCGCGTGCACCGAAACACCCGCGGGATATGCGACTGCCATCCCCTCCTGCATCCCCTCATTGCTAAACGACGCCGCCGATGGCCCCTCGCTTTAGCCGGGGCGCAGTGTAAGTCGCGAGCCCTCCGCGGCGGCGGCCCGGAGCCCTCCCCATCGGGGCTTTGCTCAATCGGAATGATGCGTCTGGCCGATCGTGAAATTGCCTGCGTGCCGGATGACGTCACGCCCCGCCGCGGCTGCTGCAGCCGGTGCAGCCGGGCGAGCGCGCGGCCGCCGCCGACAAAGGAGAGGAGCGCGCGGAGAGCTGCAGCAGGGAAACAACGGCGGGGAGCAGGCTAAGAGCAGCGCAGGGCAAGCGGAGGGTCCGCGGGAGAATGAATCATAACCGTACGGTGAATGTGTCGGGGTCGGGGGCGCCGCGCGCCGGCCCGCGCCAGCAAGAGCGGCAGCACCGAGAGGGAGGGGGCAAACCACCTCGCTGTAACGTTGAAAACCTCTGTTTCTTTAGGTGCTTCGCTTTATATTGTATTGCAGTGCATTTTGCCGTATTTTTTGTGTTTTTCTAAAGTACTATACATGTTGGTTGTGTCGTTCTTTTGACTAGCGTCGTGAAGGTTTGCTGATGAGAACAAGCGTTGAATGCTAAAAGTACGTGTGTTCGCCACACAATGGCAAAAGTCGTCGCAATCAGATTTTGGTCCCTGCCGTTCAACAACTGGTCGTGCTGGATTACGGCGGCGAGCGGCGAGCGCCGCAGCGCCGCCCTGCTCCCGCTCTGCTCCGGGGCGGGAGCGGCACTGGCGTGCCCGCGCCCCGCGCCTCCTTGCCCCCGCACCCCCGCCGCGGCGCCGCGCCGCCACCGCCGCCACCGCCGCGCGCCCCTCCCCCTCACCCCGCGCCACTCCGCCGCCTGCCGTTAGTTCCGCCTCCGGCCGCCGGGGCAGCGCCACCTCTCCGGCCCCCAAGTCCTCCGGCAAGCCTCCGGCGCGCTGTCCACTCGGTTCCGGCGGGCTCCGGGACTGATGGCCGCCCGGACTCGCCCCGGCCCGCGTCCGTTATTCGAAACGCCGCGGCCGGGGCCGGCCGGGGCGGGCAGGGCGAGCAAAGGGGTGGCCGCGGAGCTGGTTGCCGGTGCCAGCCTTTTTCAAAGAGATAATGAACTACTGCCGTTATCAAAGAAAAATCTACGAGGGGAGGAGAGGGTGAAAGGACTTGCGAGCCGCACACCGACCCCCAAGCCGCCGGACCGGACACACTGTGTATGCCA